AACGGGATGCTCGGGTGCTCAGAGTTAAGTGTGTGCTCAGTCTCTGCATGGAGTCGGTATTTTTCGTTAGGATCCAGACTTCAGAATTCAACTAAAAGGAGACAGGGACCCAAGCGCAGCGGAGTGCTGCTTTTGTACTACAGGCGGGTGAAAACGTCCTCTTTGGGATATTTTATGTGTCGCGGGTACACAAAAGACCGCTGGGGAGGCAGCGGCTCTGTTATGGCCTCAGTAGTAGATCTTGGCTTTGAGAAATGAAATGCAGGTCTTGACCGGATGAGAAGTGTTTTTAAATACAGTCTCATTTGTATTTTTTGCCTTGACACAACGTCATTTGAGCAGCACGGTTATAAACAGTACTCGGACTCTGCGTGTGTGTGTGTGCACGTGTTTGTTTGCGTGCGGCGGGGTGTTTTGAAGAACAATGTCTTTCCTGTTACACGAGTACAGCCCATGTCTTGAAATTCAGCCAGCTGGGAAAAAACCCCTGTCGAGACCTTAGTCAGGTCGCTGCGCCTGGGAATCTGGTGGCAAGACAGACCCTGCCTCTTCCCTTTGCGGCAGCGTTTGCCGAGGAAGTTTGTAATCAGTGGCCAAAGAGAACAGAAGTCAGGGCCGAAAAGGAATGGGTCGTCTGTCCCAGACCGGGGAGGAGGAGCCATTCCCCTTCCCACTGGGAATTGGAAGAGCGCGGCATGTGGGATAACCCAGGTGAGGAGGGAGCGAGAGAGGGCTCTGGTCAAATCCCCCGCTCGAAGCCGGGTCAGCCCTGGGGTCAGCGCTGGGGTCAGCCCAGGTTACTCGGGGCTGTGCTGATTAATGGAGGACGGAGATTGCACAACGTCTCTGAGCCACCCATCGACGTTTGACCGCCCGCCTGGTGAAAATAGACTGCAACAGAAGCAGCTCGTACAAAACCACGTTTTTAATGTCACCCTGCTCATTAAAAAGAGAAAGATCAATTCTGTTTTGTAACAGAAACGATCTACGTGAGGCACGGAAAACTTCTGGTACCGGAGGACCGACTCACGTGAAAAGGCACTTACAAGGTGGAAGGAGAGCAGAAGGATGCCTCTGGTTACGTTCCTGCCTTGAAATTTGAATATCGCAGCACAAAAGCTTTGTATTTATAGCAGCGGGTACCAACGGGGAAGATGCTCTAAAAATAAACGAGGATGCACAGATAAAATCATCTATTTTGAGGCTCGTTCGGAGGGCGGCGGGGAATCCGGCGGCCAAACGACTGTCGGTCAGTGCTGTTCCGGGACTGCGCGCTGCTGCTGAAGCCCGAGGCAGGGCTGGGCACGACCCG